TTTTTTTTCTTAAGAGACAGTGTCTCATTCTCTTGCCCAGGCTGGAGTGCAATGGTGTGATCATGGCTTACTGCAGCCTCCAGCTCCTGGGCTCAAGCAATCCTCTTGTCTCAGCCTCCTGAGCAGCTCAGACTACAGGTGCATGCCACTGCACTTGGCTAATTTTTTAAAATTTTTGGTAAAGATGGGGCTTCACTAAGTTGCCCAGGTTGGTCTTGAATTTCTGGGCTCAAGTGATCTTTGGCCTCCCAAAGTGCTGGGATTACAGGTGTGAGCCACTGGAATCCGGCTGGCCGCAAGTTTTGTTTTTGTTTTTGTTTTTTTTTTTTGAGATGAGATCTGTTCCTAATAGAAACAACCCCATTAAGAAGGGGGCAAAGGACATGAACAGACACATTTCAAAACAAGACATACCCGTGGCCAAAAAGCGTATGAAAAAATGCTCAACATCACTAATCATTAGAGAAATGTAAATCAAAACCACAATGAGATACTATCTCGCACCAGTCAGAATGGCTATTATTAAAAAGTCAAAAAATAACATATGCTGGCAAAGTTGCAGAGAAAAGACAACACTGCTGGTGGGAGTGTAAATTAGTTCATCCCCTGCGGAAAGTGGTGTGATTCCTCAAAGAGCTAAAAACAGAATTATCATTTGCCCCAGCAATCCCATTATTGGGTATATACTCAAAGAAACATAAATCATTCTGCCATAAAGACATCTACACACGTATGTTCATTACAGTACTATCTACAACAGCAAAGACATGGAATCAGCCTAAATGCCCATCAATAGTAGACGGGATAAAGACAATGTGGTATATACATACCATGGAACACTATGCAACCATAAAAAGAACAAGATCATGTCCTTTGCAGCAACATGGAGCCAGAGGCTATTATCCTAAGCAAACTAATGCAGGAACAGAAAACCAAATACTGCATGGACACAAAGACGGGAACAACACACACTGGAGCCTCCTGAAGGGTGGAAGGTGGGAGGAAGATCAGAAAAAATACCTATTGGTACTATGCTTAATATGTGGGTGACAAAATAATCTGTACACCAAAGCCCTGTGACATGAATTTAACTATACAACAAATCTGCACATGTACCCCCTGAACCTAAAATAAAAGTGTTAAAGTGGGGGGCAGACAGAGACAGGATCTGGCTCTGTTGGAGTGGCTCGATCATAGTGCTCTGTACCCTTGAACTCCTGGCCTCAAGCAATGTTCCCACCTCAGCCTCTGGAGTAGCTGGGACTATAGGGACAAGCCACAACACCCAGCTGGAATTTTATAATATAATGGGGAACCACCCAGGGCACTTGAGTCAGGGGAGATAAATCTCTTTGAAGTACAACATTAATCTGGCATTTCGGCAACAATGTACAAAATAGATTAATTGAGGACTGGGAGAACAGGTGAGCTGCTGCAACTGTTAAGCTGCTCCAACATTTCAAAGAGAGGTTAAAAAAAGGACTTGAACTAGAATGTTGAAGACAAGACAGTTAACAGAAAGTGTGCAGGTGGAAAACCAATTGGACTCAGAGAGCAAAGGAGAGGGGTGACACTACAAGGATAAGAAGGATTACAGCAGTACAACCTAGGTGAATTTTGAATTTCATATGATTTTCATGTGTCATGAAATCTTATGATATTTTCCCTAAACATTAAAAAATATAAAAAATCATTCTTAGATTGTGGCCATGTAAAAACAGGCAACAGACCATTTTTGGCCCTCAAGCATAGTTTGCTAACCCTTGTACTGTATCATAATTCTCTGTGCTTATCAAAATGTCTTCTTTCCAGCAATTACTCATTAAATATTTGTTTCACCAGTGTGGGGAGAGGTCCTGATTATTTTCCTTTAGTTAATATGTTAATATTAACTAAATTGCACTTAACATGGGAACATTTCATTTCCACCGCTCCAAAAAGTAAGTGACTAAAATGTTCAAGTAGGAACTGCTGACCTCTAATGGGAGGCTGGATTAAATACAACACCAGGCTTTAATAGGTTGGTGTGTGTCTGTCACTGGAAAATGACTGTGCAAAAGGAATACAATTAGTCATGAAGGGGATACACACACACGAGGAAGGAGCGTAAGGATTAGAGTTAGGAGTCTCAACTTAAAAGCCTAATGTATTTTTATTTCAGGAATTTAATTTTATAATTTTATTCGACTTCCGAAATTTCGCAAACAAGATTTTCCTCTTTCAATTACACACACGTATTGCTTAGGAACGGATTAGCAGATATAGGCTTTCTTACGTTTCATAAAACATTTTAACAGATTCTGAAAGGGCACTGTCGTTAAGTCATGCTTTCTGAAAATGTTCTAGTCCACGATTATCAAAACATTTAACACAATATCTCATTTTTATCAAACAAATAATGTCTAGAATGGCATTTTACTAGTAAAGTAACATAGACCTTTCCAGCTTTAAGATGAAAAACTAGGAAAAATGTCATTTTAGATCAGGCTACAATTTTCCAAAGACATAATACGAACATTTCAGCAGCACTTCAGATGTATTACAGGTTAACAGAAAAGCAGCAGAAGCAGCACACAGAATAAAGCTCTTTATATCACTTTTCAGTTTTAGAAAAAAAGGGCACTAAAAAAAATTAAGCTCTGTGGTTTTAAAAAAAATGCCCAACACAGCTATATCTTTTCCTACTATAGAAACCTCAGAACATGTCTGTAGTCATTTCAACCACAATAAAAATCTCAAGTCTCACCACTGCTGGCACAAATCAATGGTTAGGGCTTTAGAAGAAAAACAATCTCAGTATCCAAGTCCACATTAATATAACAGGTTAGGCTAAAGTTCGGTAGAAGTAATCCCCCCAAAAATATTTTCTCCTTGCTCTTCCCAACCAGAATTATCAACTCTGTGCTCCCAGATTTGTCATACCTGTGGTTCTGTCTTATTTATCACTGCCAGCACTCACCTCAGTAGTTAGGTAATTGACTTTATACACTGCACATGCTTTGTATTTTTTCAATACTATTATCTCTTAAATTTGCACCTGATTCGTCTGTGATCTTTAAGTATAAACAGCAACCCAGGAACAGATAAAGGGCCCTCAAATCCCAACTCCTCCCCCACCCTCATTCTCTCCACTTTTGAAAGAATTTCCTACTTCCGTTTTGTTTTTGTTTTGTTTTTGAAATATTTCTCCCCTTAGCTGTCTACGTATGCCCTCCACTATCTCTGCTTTCACCTTTGGGTGTACAACTGCAGAACTAATGGTGGCAAATAGGAAAAATAATGTTAAGCCACCAGGAAAGACAAAGAATCTTTTTAAAGGTACCAACTATGAACCAGGTGCTTCATATATGCCCTCATCTGATCCTCAGAGCAGCCTAATAAGGTATTATGATCCCAATTTTTCAGAAGAAAAAAACAGACTCTGAGAGGTTAAAGAATCTGCCTAAGGTCCATGGTGACCAACTATTTTGGTGTGCTCAATACAGGGAGTCCCCGGGATGTGAGACCCAGTTTCAAAACCTGGACAGTCTTGGGCAAAGTTTGTCACCCTAGTAAGGACACACAGCCCATTCCTACCCTTTCGTAGGTTCAGATTTGAATCCAGGTTAGTGGGGCTCCAAAGCCCACGTACTTCCCAGATTCCCTGCTTCTCCCAAACTGAACTCCCTTCGAACTTCAGAAGCTCCATTATTTTTCACCCCAAAGGCTTCTGGGCCAAACCTAATTCTGGTGAAAAATATTTAGCCTTTTATTCCATCTTTTCTTCTGCAAGTATACAAATCTTTCTAAACTCCCTAATACAAAGCACCCCCAAAACCACCACTGAGGGCTCATATGGGACATGAAATACTAATGTGAAAAATTAAAAGACAAAAGCACCAAAGAAAGGTTAATTTCTTTTAACTCTGCTTAGTTCACCTCTACCATCATTAGCAGTATAACCCATTGGGGTGGGGGTCGATGATTAGGGAACTGAAAAATAAATTGTTCTTGCCTCAAAGATATGAGGGTAGGAATGTCTGAAGCAAGCCTGTTCTCCCACCACTCCCCACCAAGAGACTGAGGTAAAGATGATCTCTGATTTAAAGCAGTGGTATAAGGCAGGGTAGTTCCACCTATGTTTTAAGGAGTGGCATCAACAGGTGGCATTTAGTGGTGGCTTGCTATGAAGGTGTGTCTAAGGTTTATACCATCAAGAGGCCTAAGCCTTGTCATTGATCCTCATTTCACTGTTGCATTCCAACCCTTCAGAACCTCAAACCTGCCCTGGGGCCTATACTACCTTCTCCACTATTACTGTCACTCAGTGTCCCCAGTACCAGGGACCATCAATAACGACTTAAAGGGAATAAAGAATTAGGAGTGTGTCTGAGGTGGCATCGTGAGAAATGCTTTTGGCAACCTGAGTAGGAACTATCACATACAGAATATTTCTGCAGGAAAACAGATTTTTCTAAAATCAGTATCATACAGAAACTACCATAGCAAAACTGTATGCAAGAGAATACCTAAGCACTTCCTCAAAGGCAATGAGCTTTACTTCCACAACACCTAAGGCACTGCTCAAATGAATGTTTAATAACTATTACAGATTAAATGAATTTTCCATGCTAGCGAACTGTCACTGTTTTTCCTTCGTTCATATTTCACTGACTCCCAGCACATGACACACAGTCAATGGGTCGGTAGATAAACCCTACACTCTTGAACTCAAGTGTGGTCCACGGACTAGCTGCACCTGCATCATCCGCGAGATTATCAAATCATAACCTGCATTTTCAACAACTAGATCCCCAGGGAAATCGCATGCACACTGAAGTCTGAAAAACAGTGTCTCAGAAGTTTGCAGTATATGAATCCTTCCAATCCCCAACTCCAATCTCATCACCATGAGAAAAAAATGGAGCACACACACACCGTGCACAGGGCCAGCGACCAGCCCACGGTGGGGCTGGGACACCTGTCATCCTATCCTCCCCAACAGTTCCCCATCCGCTCACCTTGATCCGCTCCCCATCAATCTCCACCGCTCGTTCTCGGAAATCCACCCCTATCGTGGCCTCGGTGCGGTCAGGGAAGCGGCCAGCGCAGAAGCGGTAGGTCAGGCACGTCTTGCCCACATTGGAGTCGCCGATCACGATTATCTTGAAGATGCGGGAGCGGGCAGGAGGCAAAAACCCGGAGGCTCCTGACACCGCCCCGCTGGACGAAAAGCTTGCCTCGAGCGACGACTCCATCTCCTCAGCCATTCCCCCGACCCGCCCCAAACTGAGGCGGAGGAAAGGAGACACAGAAAGGCTGAGAGATTACGCCACCTCGAGCGCGCGCGCCCAGCCGGCCAGTTCGGCTGCGCAACTTCCCACGAGCCACCGCCCACCAGCCCCGAGCGCGCCTGCGCACCTTCCCGCCCCACCCTCGCGCGCACAGGTGTGGCGCCCGCCCGCCCTGCCACACTGAGCGGCCTGCTCCCGGCCACACGCCACGCGTCACTCGGGCTGGCGCCGGTCTACCTGGGCAGGCGTGGGGCCTGTCGGGGGCTTTATGGCGGCGCGGAAAGCCAGCCTGCCGAGAGGCTGAGCCGAGCGCCCCAGGCCCAACGCCCTGGCTGACCCAGCCCCGCCACGTCCAACGTTCCCGCCCTCTGGAGGAAGCCGCGCAATCACTCCGGGGGCGGGGAGAGATAGACAGCTGAGAGGAAGGAGGTGCCATGGGCGCTCTCTCGCGAGAGGGCCGCAGAGCCGCCTTTGACGGGGGCGTGTGCCTGGAGAGCGACGGTAAGGACGTCGCCGGGCTCCGGCGTCAGGTCGGTTCCGGCACCGATGTATCGTTTGGTTGCCCCGGAGAGGAGGCAGGTTCCCTCAGCTTGCCGCTGGGGATGTGGCATCGGCTGCGCTCCCCACCGCCGCCGCCTCTGTGAACTGCGGGAGTTGGGACCGCGGCCAGGGCTGGATGGGTGGGACGCGAGTCATCGCCGAAAGCCTGCCCGGTGCGGGGCGCACTTGGAGGCGAGCTGTGGGCCGCACTGAGTTTTGAAGCCTAAGGTCTTCGCAGGCGCATTGCTGTGGGCTGCCGGAGAGCAGGCTGGAGTTCGAGGCCGCCCACCGGAGAGCAGGCGAGAGTTCGAGGCGTAGGCACAGCGCATTTCGCTAGGCATCCCCCAAGTCCCCAAGAATATCCGCGTGATCCTTGTGACCACAGTTTGCTGGGTTAATGTCCCCAGCCCAAAAAGTAGAGCACATCACATGTCTGCCACTTGGGAGCATTGAACCTGGGAGTTACTAGGCGCCTCTGGTGGAAATAAAACTCATTATGCGCTAGTTATGTCTTAGTGCCTGGGTGACGATGATGTAGCGGTTAAAGATTAACTGAGCGCACTTAGAGGTTGTCTTTGTCTACCTAAGGAAAATATCAATAGATTAAACCCCCAACCTTAAAGAATCTCCGTGAATTCTTCTGAGGACACGTCCTATATTGTCATACAAAAGGTCCCAAATATGCAAACATTTCCTTTTTGTTAAAAGTTTGTTTTGTTTTGCAGTGACATCTGTTTGAACAGATGAATATGCCATTGGCAAAGTCAAGGACTGTCGGAGAGGAGGACATGGCAGGCCTTAACTAAAGTGAGGGGGACAATTGAGCACTAAAAGTCCTAGGAAAGGAGATGAGCTGCTTATTCCGTCAGATGAGATGAAAATGTAGTCAGAACAGATGAGTGGTAGAACTTAAACATGCCCGGAGTTGCCAGGAATTTGCAACAGCCTTGATATAGAGTAATTTCTGTTGCTGTAGAAAGACTTTCTACAGTCACTAATATACCAAGTTATGTTCGCTAGAAAAAAAGTTTACTTACCAAGTTTATAGAAATGGGGTGAAAAATCCTAATTACTTATCTGTGAGGTTATTTTCATGAAGGTTAATCATCCAGAGACTATTAGAGAGCCTCGGAATATATTCCTTCTAATCTACTCTACCTATCCCATTCAAAGGAGGGACTCTGAAGATTTAAGGACGAAGAGCAGTTGAAAACTGAAAGCTGTGGTTAATGGGAGAATATCAAGGATGGTGAAAAAAACTCAGCATCATTGCACCCCTGTTCTTTTTTGTATTGTGGACTTTTTAGTTTAGATCTTGGTAAGCTACATCACAAATTCTTTATGCAGAAATTCTTTATGCTAACTCTAACACTTTTTGAGATATTGCTAATTTAATCTTTGAATACTGTTTTTGCTATTTCATGATTATATGTTAGGTCCTACCAGCTAGATTGCCAACTCTTGACTACTGACTGGAAGTTTATTGTTTATTCAACAAATAATGCATTAAGTCAGTGAAGTGAAAGATTTCGTATGTAAGGATTGTTAACTTGAACATTTCACCAATTACACACAGTTCAGCCCCACTTAAATTTTAAAAATCATTGTTGGCCCTTGATATCGTTATGAGGAGTTTTGTATTTTCAGCTTGTATTTTGAGAGTGTCCTCATGTGACTGAAATATGTGCTACTCTTCTTAATTGAATAACCCCAGAATCTCCAGAATTGATAATTGGAGGAGATTCTGCTGTTGGGAAAAATGGATGGATTATGCAGCCCTGTTTTTTGACAGTTCATTTTGTCCTTGGAGTCACTACCACTTGGCCTCAAAGTGTGAACATGTAACCCTTTCCTGAATACTTCGCTACACAGCTGAGCAGCAACTGTAAATTTGGATCCTTTGTCAGTACAACTTAAAATGGAACAATTTCAATGGCTTAGGGTAAGATAAGTATGTAAAGATACTTTTGTAATAGAAGAAAAAACATCGTTTATTAAAATCACACAGTAGTACCTGGGTGTGGTGGCTCATGCCTATAATCCCAATGCTTTGGGAGGCCAAGGCAGAAGGACTGCTTGAGGCCAGGAATTTGAGACCAACCTGGCCAACATAGTGAAACCCCATCTCTACCAAAAAATACAAAAATTAGCCTGGTGTGATGGCCCACGCCTGTAATCCCAGATACTCTGGAGGCTGAGGTGGGAGAATCGCTTGAACCAGGGAGGCAGAGTTTGCAGTGAGCCGAAATTGCAAAACTGCACTCCAGTCTGGGCAACAGAGTGAGACCTCCTGTCTCCAAAAAAAAAAAAAAAATGTGGGTGTGGTTGTGTACACCTCTACTGGCTGCTACTGAGGAGGCTGAGGCTGAAGGATCTTTGGAGCCCAGGAGTTCAAGTCTGCAGTGAGCTATAGTTGCACCGCTGCACTCCAGCCTGGGTAACACAGTGAGACCCCCATCTCTAAAACACAGAAGTAAAAAACAGGCTGGGCGCGGTGGCTCACGCCTGTAATCCTAACACTTTGGGAGGGTGGATCATGAGGTCAGGAGTTCGAGACCAGCCTGGCCAACATAGCGAAACCCCATCTCTACTAAAAATACAAAAATTAGCTGGGCGTGGTGCTGGGCACCTTTAAACGAGCTGTTCAGGAGGCTGAGGCAGGAGAATCGCTTGAACCCCGTAGACAGAGGTTGTAGTGAGCCAAGATCGTGCCATTACACTGCAGCCTGGGCGACAAGAGCAAGACTCTGTCTCAAAAAAAAAGTAGAAAACAGAATAGCATAAGGATAATCTTATATACAAAATAAGACTACTCAATTTCAGCATTTTTTTTTTAACTAGAGATGCCACCTGATGACGGTGCCAATTTTCTAACTTGTCTTAGAAACAGCTCTTAGATGATTTTGCTCCTAAGTTCAGGTCTGAGCACAGGGGACAAAGAATTCCCTTGATTGCCTACGAAAGAAAGGGTTCTCAACCTTGGTACTATTGACATTGTAAGCTAGATAATTCTTTGTTGTGGAAGGTTGTCCTGTGCATTGTGGGATGTTTATTTTATCAGCATCCCTGGCTTCTACCCAGTAAATCCCAGTAGCACCCCACTACCAACCAAAACTGTCTCAAAATGTTGCCAGATGCCGCTTGGGGACAAAAATCCTGTCTCCTTCCCTCCTCCTTGAATGCCACTGGCACTCCTTGAGCCTACAAAAGGGCTCTTCTCACAAGTCTGATACCTTGTGTATCCCAGTTGATAGTGGGAATTACTTCTCCTTTGAAGACGCAATTCTAGTTACCCTGAGAAGTATGGCATTGGCCTTGCTGGCCTCCACAGAATTACCATATCACTGTGTTTGGTAACCCCAAACATCATACTAGGGCTTTAATTTCAGTACATAAGTAGCAAATTAGTATCCTTTTATAGGTTAGCTTGCTGAGTTTCAGAATTTTTCAAGTCCTATCTTCATAGTTAAGATCATTGTGGAGTTAACAGCACTTGAACTATGTATTCAGTACTATGCTAGTGGTTGGTGCAGGGGAAGATACAAAAGAAGGTGTGATTTTAGCCCATGAGGAATTTATACTGTATCTGCAGAAGCAAGTTAATATGGAACCGTTAGTGAACACCTGGATAAAATAGAATGTTAAATTTTTCCCTAGAGGTGCTGGGCCTGGACTTCAAGAATTCTAAATGAATTGAAGTATGTTCACAGTAAGAAAGGTTAAAAATGACTCTGACCACTTGTAGGCCAACAGGAAGCTAGGATGGCAGACCTGGACAATAAACAGGTATTGTCCAAATAAATTGGACAATAAACTGAAGATGAGTGTGCCTGTGGTAGTGGGATTCTTCTAGCTAATAAACCCAAATTGTGAATTAGCAAGACTTGCAAATATTTGATATATGTAAAAAGTACAGTCATGGCCTCTTGTTGTTTCCTCCTCTATCTCGTTCTCTTTATTAGTCCAGGTTCTCTAGAGGGACAGAACTAATAGGAGATACACACACACACACACATATATCTATAATAGGAGTTTATTAAGTAGTATTAACTCACATGATCACAAGGTCCCAGAATAGGCCATATGCAAGCTGAGGAGAAAGGAAGCCAGTCGAGTTTCAAAGCTGAAGAACTTGGAGTCCAATGTTTGAGGACAGGAAGCATCCAACATGGGAGAAAGCTGTAGGCTGGGAGGCTAAGCCAATCTAGTCTTTTCATGTTTTTCTGCGTGCTTTATATTCTAGTTGTGCTGGCAGCTGATTAGATGGTGCCTACCCAGATTAAGGGTGGGTCTGCCTTTCCCAGCCTACTGACTCAAATGTTCATCTCCTTTGGTAACACTCTCACAGACACACTCAGGATCAGTACTTTGCATCCTTTAATCCAATCAAGTTGACTGTATTAACCATCACAAGTCCACCCCTTGTCAAGTTGAACACATACACATCTCCTGAGATCATTCATAATCTTCAAATAATGACAATAATAAAGTCATAATTACATCTAATACAGCTATCCTTTGTACAACTGGAAACACACCAGTCCCCAACCCAAATGCTACTACATAAAGTTAACAATACTTAAATGCTGATATGAAGTAAATCTTACATCACGTGATAAAATGAGACCGGGCGTGGTGGCTTACACCTGCAATCCCAGCACTTTGGGAGGCCGAGGCGAGTAATGGCTTTTGACAGTAATAGAGGGTCTCAACCTGAGTTGTCTTAAGTTTGCATAAGGCTTAGGCAAGGATAAAATAAAGCAGGATCTAGAGACTGGTGAGGAGAAATAAAAATCCTCATTCTTGACAGCTCTCAGCACTTGCAGCCCTCCCCACACAGTCACACTTTCACACACTCACAACCAGATTTACACACATTCCTACGCATGCACACACTCTCATGCACTTACACTTGTGCACTTACACATTCACGTTCATATACTCACATGCACACATTCACGACACTCACATACTCTACAAACACTCATGCAAAAGGGATTTGTAAGCTGAATGTTTAGACCTCAGAACACATTTTCACAAAAATAATATTACGGCCGGGCATGGTGGCTCACACCTGCAATCCCAGCACTTTGGGGGGCCCCGCTGGGTGGCTCACTTGAGGTCAGGAGTTCAGGACCAGCCTGGCCAACATGGTAAAACCCTGTCTCTACTGAAAATACAAAAATTAGCCAGGCATGGTGGCGTAAGCCTGTAATCCCAGCTACTCAGGAGGCTGAGGCAGGAGAATCGCTTGATCCCAGGAGGCAGAGGTTGCAGTGAGCCGAGATCTTGCCACTGTACTCCAGCCTAGGCGACGGAGCGAGACTCCGTCTCAAAAAAAAAAAAAAGTGAGGCTCTGTCTCAAGAAAAGGAAATGAAATGAAGATATTTTCTTAGTATGAGTGTATATATGCACGAACATGT